CGTAGGAATACCTAGCGTATCCCCGGATGAAGTTACTGTAGTAGCTGGTCAGGCCTAGGAAGCTGCGAAGCTGCTTGGCGGATGTGGGAGCGGGCCACTCCGCAATAGCAGTGATCTTCGTGTCGTCCATGTGGAGACCCTGGTCAGACACGTAGTGTCCTATGAAATTCACTTTGTGCTGGGCAAAGCGGCACTTGCTCAGCTTGGCGTAGAAGCCATGTTTGCGCAAGCGGTCAAGGACGTCGCGGAGATGTCTGAGGTGTTTCTCAAGGGTACGACTGTAGACCAGGATATCGTCGAGGTAGACGAGAACGTACTGCTCCAGGATGTCCCTGAAGATGTCGTTCATCGCCCTCTGAAAGGTAGCGGGAGCATTAGTGAGGCCGAATGGCATCACCGTGAACTCGTAGTGGCCGAATCGCGATCGGAACGCGGTCTTCGGCTGGTCGGCTGCAGCGACGCGGATCTGATGGTAACCGCTACGAAGATCAATCTTCGTAAAGAAGCGGTTGCTTGCTAGGCGGTCAAACAGCTCATCGGAACGAGGCATGGGGTAGCTGTTCTTAACCGTGTAGCGGTTGAGGCCGCGATAGTCGATGCAGAGACGGAGAGTTCCGTCCGTTTTGCGAGCAAAGAGGACGGGTGCACCCCACGGGGAGTTGCTGGGTTTAATGAAACCCTGTCTCAGGAGCTCCTCAAGCTGATGCTTGAGTTCGGTGGCCTCGGGGATCGAGAGTCTGTATGGATCCTGGTGGTGAACACGATAGTCAGGCACAAGCTGAATGGAGTGCTCGACGTCACGCATCGGTGGGATGCCGGCGTACGAGAACGACGATGGGAAAACGTCGTGGTACTCTCGGATGAGGTCACGAACTGCGGGCTCCAGGTCAGCCGTATATCGTGCGAGTTCCTCAGCGTCAGCGTCAGCGCGCGACGGCGGGGTGGCCAACACGGATGGCGGAGGGACGGAAGTAGAGATGGGAGCCATGGAGATAGAGGGAGGTTCTGGCTCCAGAGGGATGAGCTCGGCATCGGGACAGGGTGGATCATAGTGTAAGAGATCCGTCACGTCCACCATAAAGAAGGTGACGTCGTCCTGTCGAATGAAGTGAGCAAACTACCGAGGCGAGGTGACAATGATAGAGGGAGATGGTGTGGGCACTGAAGGCTCCGGGGGAGGAGGATCGGGGCGTGGTGTCGCAGTGGTACCTATGAAAGGCACGCGATACGTTTGTCCACACATCGTTTTGAGAACGAGAGTGTTGGTCGCCCAATTGGCCTCGGTGCTGCGGAATCAACGAGACCACGGAGTGCCGAGAATGAAGTCGTACCCCGTCTCCATCACTTCGAAATGTGTAGAGGAGCGGTGGCGACGAGACGCCGGGGGACGATCAGTCGGCTCGAGAGTGAGGAAGAAGGGGAGGTCAATGACCGTCTGATCGAAGAAGCACTGGGTCTTGTCATCCCCTAGGGTAACGGAGATGGGAGTCGGAGACCCGGTCGTGGGTAAGCGGGCTTCTTTCACCACACGTGGGTGAATGAAGTCGCCCTGAGAACCGGAATCCCACAACGCTGAGTACACCATCGTGGAGGTCCCTAATCGTACTGGGATGATCGGGAGGGTGCGATCAGGGTCAGAGAGGATGGCGAGAAGGCGACGCAGTGCAGCGACATGGAGGGTGAGTCGCTCCGGACGAGCCTGGAGCATGCTCAAGTCCAGAAGAGAGGACACAACGTCCTCGGGAGTCGCGAGTTGCTCGTTGCAACGTGCTGAGCGAATGGCTCGACGCGTCGGTAGTCGCGGCGGGGAAGGAGGGGAGACAGTGGTCTGCGGAGGCGCAGACGGTACTGCGACAGAGGGCTGAGTACACTCTGTCGAGTCCTGCGATACCTCAACTCCAGTAGCGAGAGGGGCGAACCGCGACGGAGATGTCGGAAAGCCCACTACTGAGGAGGGTGCAGGTGTACACTGCACCTTGGCTAGGAGGCGCCGCGGGGACGTGAGGCGCCGGGGGGGGACTGAGCACGATGCTGACGAGAAAGGTCAGCGTAGTGGCAGTCGAGGGCGGTAGTGTAAGGGCACCGCGAGGAGGTATGACTGTCCAAGCGGCAGCGCAAACACCCACGTCGGCCCAGAATAGCCGCGCGCTCCTCAGTGGAAAGGACACCGCGAGGAGGGACGAAGACCTGAGGGAGGTCCTCCTGAGGGACCTCGGGGGGCGACGCGCCAGCGTGACCGGGACGGCTGCGTGCCCGAGAGAGGGCGGAGAGCGCGAGTTGAAGGCGCTCAGCTGCAGGGAGGGTCGAGTCCTTCAAGTGACAGTGGACGGCCTCGCAGAGATCGAGGTCGTCGCTGTGGTCGCCCTCAGGTGACAATGGGGCAACAGCGTCCTGCTCACCATACTCCAGCGCGCTGAAGCAGCGCGAGAAGTGGCAGCCCTGCTGCGTGGAATGGCGGGGGCGACCGCGGAAAGGGGAACGACGCTGGGAAGTGTCGTAAGAGGAGGAGGCGTAGCCCGTGCGCTGGGGCTAGAAGGAGGAGGCGGGGTGAAGACGGGCTCGCATCCGCTGGTGGTCCCTGGCGGCCTCGTAAGCCTRTGGGGCCGATGTGAACTCGTGCCGCCATAGCTCGGAGCGGTACTCGAGCGGAAGGCTGGCCAAGAAACGATCGATAAGGGCAGCCTCGGGGAGGAACGCCACGTCGCAAACGAGGCGGGCGTCCTGAAAGACCTGGATGTGGCGATCCAGGCCGGCAGCGCCACCAGAGCCGGACCAGCGTGTAGTGACGACACGCTCGAAGGCGTCAATCACGTCGTATTGGGCTCCGAAGCGATCCTCGAGGAACGCCTGGAAATCCACGAAGGTCGGAGTCCGACCCTCACGAAGGGAGTAGGCATAGAAATCCTCCCAGGCCTCGAAAGGACCGCCACGCAGGCGCGTGGAGAGGTGACCCACCCACGTCTCGGGTGTGGCGCCCATGAGCTGGAGTGTGCGGGTGGCAGACTGCAGCCACCGAGACACGCGTATGCCTGCACCGTCATACAAGGCAATGTCCGACAAGCGGATGAGTGGTGCGCCACCGTTTTGGCAGCGAGGGGATCGAGGAGCGGAGGCCTGTGCCACGACTGATTAAGTCGGCGCAGGTTCTGGAGAAAGGGGCGCAGCTGACTGTGCGCCCAGGCCGCATGGGGGAGCGGCGGTGGCAACAGCGGCAGACTGCGAGGGTGTTGCGGTAGAAGAGGTCGCAGCAACCGCGGGAGTAGGAAGAAGGTAGGAAGGAGTTGTATAGGGTGCAGGGTGCGTAAAGCGAGCCTGCATGGGAGGAAGGGTAGAGGAGGTAGGGGGTGCGCCTGAAGGCGCGGCCACCTGTGAGGGTGGGGGTGGCTGAAGGCGTAAGAGGGCGAGGTCGGCCCGGAGCTAGGCAATCTCGTCCGCGAGACCTCGAACGTAGGTCGATCGAGGGGTGGCAGGAGGAAGAGTGGAGGGGGTGGACGCACAAGCGGCGCGGGGCATCCCAGAGGGGGAAGAGCCTGGTGGCGCTGCGGTCGTGCGAAGGGGAGGGAGAAGCGGGGCACCCGGAAAAGCTGAGACCATAGTAGCGGGTTGTTGTACCGTGGCCGTAGTGACCGGGATCTGGGCGGGTGCGCTCGTAGACTGAGGGGGGGCCTGGCTCGTGGCGGTCGTCGTGCTAGGGGCGTGGACAGTCACCAAGATGGTCGGGTCAGGGGCAACGGAGGAGGAAGCTCTGCCGTGGCCACCCTGTCAGAGGACGGGGGACCCGGACTGGGAGCCAGGAAATAATGGACACGCAGCGTCCTGGAGTTGCTGCATGCCGGTGGCAAGGGTCGCCACCTGCGCTTGTAAGGGCGCGAGGGTCGCGAGTTGCGCCTGGATGGGCGCAAGGGTCGCGAGTTGCGCCTGGATGGGCGCAAGGAGGGAGGTGAGAAGGGTGTGTAGATCCCCCTGGGGCTGATGGCCCTGGTCTGCCGGCACGGGTGTGGAGCCCGATGTCGTGGTCATTGCCGTGTCGGCGGCGTGTGACGCACCGTCGGCCATGGGGAGATGACGGACCGAACTGGAGGGAGCCAGAAGAGGTCCGCGTGAGCGGAGGGCGTAGGGGGAAGTCCGAGGTAGAAAGCGGCGAACGGCTCTAGCAAGGCTAGCACGGGCGCCGTCAAAGGGGAAGGGGTGGTTCGGGTCCAGGGTGCCCGAAGAGGACGGGGAAGTAGGGGGGTTTTGAGGAGCCCTAAACCCTACAAAAACCCTAAGAAAACCCTAACCGAGGCTTAAGTGGCTAGGGTAGGGTACCGGTGACCTAATCAAGAAAGTAAAATAGCAAGCATAAGGGGGGGGGAGACGGGAGAAAAATAAATAAACAGCGAGATTTCGAGAGAAAATAAAAATAAATAAGAAAATA